AGGCAGGCAGCCTGGGAGTGTGGTGCTGTGGAGAGGCCCTGGGTTCAATCCTAAGCACAAATGAAGGAAGGAAGAGAAAGAGAGAGGAAGGGAGGGAGGAAGGGAGGAAGGGAGGAAGGAAGGGAAGGAGGGAGGGAAAGAGAAAAGACTTGAGAGCTCTTCTACTTCAACTCCTAAACTTTTCAGATAAGCAGCCAAGAGGGTAAAGAAAATTACAATTTAATTTTTTAAATATATTTAGTACAGGGTCTCTCTACACAGATCTGACTCATAGTAATCCTCCTGTTTTCAGTCTCCCCAGCACTGGGATTACAGGCGTGCACACCACACCCAGTCTCAGTCTCAATATCTTCACACCCTGGACTCAGGGGTTGGCATGGCATGCTAAGAATCAAACCCCCATCCCTGCATCAGCCTAAGCAGGCACTTCAGTCTGCTGAGCTATCTTGCCAGCCCTGCAATTTACTTTTTAAACGATAGGTTTAGAAATATTTTGTACTGCAACTGTGAGGGTAGCATTCCTCAATTTAGATTAGATTATCTCTGCTTCCAACACAAATGTGGAACTAGTGACTAGAACCATACGTCCATTTGTTCTAGAAACTTCAGCAATTAATTCTTACCAGAGTTCGGGTTAAATTCACCAGCCAGAGTGCTGGTTGATATTTGGGGAGGTGACGTTTTCATCACTGCTGTTTGATCCTGGGAGTCCTTGTCGCTGTGTGGCAGATGAGATTCAGCAGGTTTGCTCGTGTCTCCCAGGTTGTGGCACACCATTTGGCTTCTGTTCCTCTCTGCAGCAGTAGGCAAAATATTAAAACATGTTGCCATTGTTTTCAGTTGTCTTGTGTACAATATGGAGAGGGAGCAAGAGGCTAGCTAGACTCAGTGCTAGAGCACTTGCCTAGCACACACCAGACCCTGCGCAGGGCCTGGCACCATCCCCCCTCCTCCCTGGAAAAAAATAACAGAGAGAGAGAAAAAAAAAAAAAAGGAAGATAGCTAGAGGTCAATGCTTGAGAAAACTTTGAGTCCTGGGTAGACCCAAGCCAAAGGCAGGACAGTGAGAGTGGTCCACTGGTGGTCCACCCCAGCCACAAGTCCTCAACCCTAGGAAAAGTTCACCTGCTCTTTCCTGTCACCAGGTGCTGCAGTCCTCCTGCCTCTGCCTCAGGACGCCACACAGCCCCTAGCACTGAGTTTGCTGTCAGCCAAGTTTACACTCCAGATCAGCAGATTCAAACCTGCCCTAGCTCAGCTAGAATTTCAGCAAATACTGAGAAAACCAAAAGAAAGCTCTCTCTTGCGCTCTGCCCTGCAAATCCTCTGTAAAGATCTCTGTATTTCTTCTCACCTAGAAGAAATATTCCTTTCATACTTGCTTTTGTTCTTTTGCTTCATTCTCTGTTATACCCATTTACCATTTGTAAATTCTGAATATTTTAATTCTTTATTTGAATATTTGCACAGAAATATCACATGTGTGTCAACTTTCATGTCACTTATGTAGCAATACATTTCACTTTATTGTTCGGCTTTTCCCAAAGACAAAAAGAATGTTCAACTAGGGATCATCACTGACCACACCACTTTTGAGAGATCAAAGTAGTTAGATACCATTTGAGTTCGACGTGCTCATGTCTCCCACTTGCATGGGACAGAGATGTGGTTTGACGACTTTTTTTCTTGTCCTTCTTAATTTATTCATCCTGCTGGCTTCAGCCTCATTACCTTCAACTTTTGTTGAGTCCTATAAAAACAGGTGAGCAAAAATCTGAATACCATTCCACACAAATGAATTAGGATACAAAATAACATAACATTGGACAGCTAGATTTTCAAATGTGTTTAGGAGATTTTTGATAAGATGATAAATTTTGTCACAACTCCCTACATTTGGATATCGAAGGCTGGATTTTTCTCTGTCTTCTTTTTTGGCTGTCATAGTCATTAAGTAAATTAGGAAATTGTCTAAGCATTCAGCATGTCTTTATTTTTTACTTTGGAATATATCGTTTGATATTAAATAATGTCATAAAACCCATTTCATCAGAAGAGCTTACGATGTAATTTAGGATCTCTGATTTTTGTGACCAAAAGTATAAGCCCCTGAAAAGTTATATTCTCTTCTCTCTTCTTACTCATCCTCCCTCAGTGTTCTTCCATCAATATTTACTTGGCTTCAGAAAAGTATTTTGAGTCATAAAGTGTAACTTTGTGACTGGTTTTATTTTATTTATTTATTTATTTTTGCGGAACCAGGGACTGAACTCAGGACCTTGCGCTTGCCAGGGAAGCACTTATTCTACTGAGCTATCTCCCCGGTCCCTATTTTTTTTTTTTTATGAGCAGAATATATTTATTGAGGGAAAGAAAGCTCCTGTCTGAGAGAGGGACAGAAGGGGGACCCGAGGAGGTTATCCCCCTGTGACTGGCTTTAAATGGGTAAAACAAATGTCATGCTCTGGCCAGGTGTGGTGATACACACCTGCAATCCCTCCTGAGGCAAAGGATCACTGAAAGTTCAAGGCCAGCCTGAGTTACACAAATCTGCCTTGTTCAAGGCAAATTTAAAATGCATAGTGAAACCCTGTCTCAGAAAAACAAAAACAAAAGAAATATACTGAAACCAATTTATAGCTTAGGAAATTCTCAGACTCGTAATGATCTTTCTGTTTTCAGCCTCCCCACCATTGGTATTATAAGTGTGGACCACCACGCCAAGTCATGGTGGCTGGATCTGTGCACCTGGGTGTGGTACCCAGGATCGAACCTCGGTCCCTGTGCTTTCCTCAGCAGGAGCTTAGCCTGTTAAGCTATTTTGCCATCCCAAACTTGGGAAATTTTAAAGAAATCCATTTAAAGTAAAGTATTCTCAGGCCAGGGAGATGGCTCAGTAGAATAAGTGCTTCCCTGGCAAGCACAAGGACCTGAGTTCAAACACTGGTTCTGCCAAAAAAATAAAATAAAATAAAAATAAATTAACAAAGTAAAATATTCTCATTTTAGCCTTCCAGTCTAAGTCATTGACATGCTACTACAGCAGGAAATCAGGCAATGAGGTAGAAGGTAGAAATAGTAGGTTGTATGTTTCAGTACTGATAGTAGGGAGAATAACCTGTAGTCCTAGTACACACACACACACACACACACACACACACACACACACACACACACACCTTCTCACTAGAAAAAAAAATTGTGTTCAAATGAAGTGAGGGGATAGGACACAGCTCAGCAGCACAGCGCCTGCCTGACAAGTGCAAGATCCTGCATTTGTTTCCTGGTATCAAATAAATAAACAGGGCTGGGGATATAGCTCAGTGACATAAATACCTGCCTGCCAAGTGCAAGGTCCTGAGTTCGATCCCCAGTACCGAAAAAAAAAAAAAAAGATCAAATAAATACACAGTAGTGGACTGAGCATCACCATGGTAGAGCAGTAAACAGCAGAGAAAGAGCCTTTCTGAGAGCTGCTGTCAAGACTCTGAAAGACAGCAAGATAAGGAAGATAAGCAAGAGGGAAGTGGGTCCTTTAGACCTGAGAAGGATCTGTGTGTGAATTCAAGCTCACAAAGAGAGTGAAGACGGAAACTGCAACAAAGAAGAAGCAGGTGGCTTGTACTGTCTTCTTCCTGAGACAGGACTCACTGTGTGAAAGGAACAGTTCAAGCTTGCAGACACACATGAGGTAGAGGAGACCCCAGGGGCCTCCACAGACACAGGCGTTAAAGGAAGGAGCAGACGTGAAAGACTGCATTGGCTGGCTGTGAGTGCTGAGGGCTCAGCCATCCTTTGCAAGACAGAAATTGAATTGACTGGGAGCCAACTTGGAGAGGGACCAACACCTCAGGGGAGATGCTGGCTCCATCTAGTGGCCCCCAGCTGGGCTCAGACCCATGGAAGGCGCACCGATGGCTGCAGGCTGAACAAGTCTGGTCTCAGCCAGAAGGTGCAGACTCTCTGAGATTATCCACTACCTTCTCCAAAAGCTACTGCTGGCTTGCTGAGCTAGATCAGCATGGATTGGAACTCTGTCTCCACACATTGTCTACCTGCAACAGCAGAGACATATCTTGAAGTGGACTTTTTTTCTTCTCTCTTTTGTTTTATTTTTAGTGTTGCACTGGTGGTGTTTGTGGTTTTGTTCTCTGTTTCTTTTCTCCTTCACTGCTTGATCTTGATTTATATGAGTGGGTACATGGTTTCCAGCCTCTTTTGAAAAATTGTTTAATTTATTTATTTGGTACAGAGCCCTCACTACGTAGCTCAGACTCACAATGATCCTCCTGTCTGAACCTCCCCAGCACTGGAATGACAGGCATGCACCACCACACCTGATTTTCTAACCTCTTTGTGATTGTGGGTCTGTTCCATTCTTTTTGTCTCTTCCTTCTCTCTTTCTTCCCAGTCTTCTGAACCAGTTAAGTCAGGCATATAGAACTTTAATTAGCCATGATAAAAAAAATCTACAGCAAGGCATATCATAGTCAAGAGTCCAGAAATTCAACCTGAGACTAGAATCTTAAAAGCTGTTGGGAAAAGAAACTGACCTATAAAGTGAAGCTCATCAGAATCCCAGCTGACTTCTTAGCACAAACCCTCAAGTCAAGGAGAACTTGGAGGGAAGTATTTCAAGTTCTAAAGGAAAACAACCTTCAACCCAGATTGATGTACCCTGCAAAACTATCCTTCAAAACTGATGGAGAAATAAGACATTTCCATGACAAAGAACATCTGAGGAAACATATGACCACCAAACCAGCACACCAAAGCATTTTCAAGGACATTCTAGAAAGAAATAAGAAGGGCTATAACTCCATGAACCTCAGCAGAAGGAATCTATTTGTCCAGGAAAACAATTAAACAGAGGGAGGGTAAAAAAGAGAGGGAGTCAACAACCAGAAAATAACATGACAAGGATAAGTCAATACATATCAGTTATAACCATCAATGCTCATGGCCTCAATTCACCAATCAAAAGACACAGGCTGTCAGAATGGATCAAGAAGCAAAATTCAACAATACACTGCATGCAAAAAGCATGTTTAATTCAAAAAAATCATAGACTGAGTGTCAAAGGATGGAAAACAATACTCCATGCAATAGAAACCCAGAAAAACATTAGTAGCTATTCTATTTGCAGGCAAGATGAATTTCAAGTCAAAGCTGATTAAGAGAGACAGGGAAGATCATTATACCCTTGTAAAGAGAACAATCCAAGAAGAAGATAGAGGACTTGGGAGATAGCTCAGTGCTATTGGCACTCACGTGGTCCTGAGTTCAATCCCCAGGACCAGAAAAAAAAAAAAGCTAATAATTCAAGAAGTGATAACCACCATAAATTAACAGACTTAATAGTGGTGACTTTAAAGAGTTTTGCAATCCTCTCATTGTGCCTTGAGGGCGGGATAGTGACAGGGGCAGGGTCAAAAACCGTAATCTAGATGTTTTGAGCTATCACCTCTTTGAAGAGCAGATTTTAAGCAGTGCCATATCTATGGGCAGATTACACATATATATGTTCCAGCTGGCTGCCAGGGAAGAACTGTACTAGTTTTTCCATAAAATCAATTCAACTTTTGAAGACTAAAAGAAAAAAAAAGAATTTTGATGTTTTCTATGTTTATGTGTAATTGTGATGTATAGTTATGTTCATTCCTATATTCACAAGGATATGTTTCATGGAATCAAGCCTGCTTTGTAATTTGTGCCTTCATTTATTAGGAAATTATGGCCTCATTTACTCCAGATAATCTCATATTTGGATTTTATAGTACATACTCTGTGATACAGTAATACATTTTCTCTGACTAGTTTGGGATTATATTCAAATACTTGCATAAATTTTCCCAGGATACTTCCAATAGAACTTGACAGAATTATCAAGCCTTATTATACATATTCCCATTTCTAAAATTGTATTACCAGAAATATGGATCATGTAATTTTATTTTTGTTAAATGTTTTACATATGTATGATCTTTTAAACAAATTTTATTTGAAGAAGTATATAAGAATCAAAGGAACTGGAGACACTAGCATTTTTTATTAGTTTGGCACTTGGGATTCCCCTTATCTGTAGATTGGAGGACTCAGAAAAGAGAAACCTTAAGATCCAGCTTCAAGCTCCATCCACCAATTGAATGAGAATGTACTAGAAAAGTGATAGGTGTGCTTTCTAGCATATTCTGTGCAAAATAGAATCCCTGCCTTGCACACTAGAAAAATGAGTCTCAGAGTTACTTATGCAAGGCCACAATGTGTATGAAAGACACAGTTCCCATAAAGGTCTAATTTGCAAAACCTCGTTCTGTGTCCAAAAATCCAGAGGTCCAAGCTCAGACAAAATGCAATTTTAAAGCATTCATCAGCTTCATGTCAATGAATTCAAAATGGATCATTTCTTAAGACAAAAATGAAGATAATCTACGTAGATATCAACTATAGAATTTCACCAATATTAGCCCAAAACCAAAGTTTGCAACATATACCTCTTATTCAATAGAAATAATTTGAAAGGGAGGCTTTTCTTTCTACATGAAAAATTAATTTCCTTCTATCGTTGAATTTTATTTTATATAATATGGTAATCACAGTATAGTCATTGCTATAATGACTAAACCAGATTTACTGGATTGATGAGTTATTCTGTCTACAAGAAAATGTTTTTTCCCCTTAATCTTTCATGCATTTTTAGGTACAATGGGAAGAATACTCCAGTGAAAATTTGACTAAACCAATTCATAA